GAGGCTTTATCTCACCCAAATCTCTACAAAGCATCTGGGCTATAGAACCCAAAACAGAACCGATTAATAGTCTGAGAAAACAAAAAGTTTTGTGTAGGCAGGTACAGTCTACTTCCTCCACTTGACTAGAGTGATGCCACAGCTGGAGAGTAATTAACCTCCCTGGCGGTATGATTATTTCAGATTTTTGGCGCTGAAAGCGGTACCATTATTTTGCATGGAAATTTGGCGTTTTATATTGTAGGCCTGTAATTTTTAGGAATAACTCACTGAAATCTGTCCGAACAAGAGTCTAGTAAAAATCCCGTGTATGATAAAATTTGAAACACGAAATCATAAATTATAATTTATTAAATAATCATAAAAAATAATAATATAATAATAATACATTTAATTCAATAATATAATCAAACCAAAAACACTGAAATTTGAAATATAGCACCAAGTTTGCACATCACTGAGCAAAGTCGCAAAATCGTTTTCAGTGTCTGATGACAAATTTCCCCCACAAATCATTATCACTCAATTCTGCAAGTGGTTCTAATTCACTATCGCTCTAGCTGGTCTAAAACCGCTTTTAACATAAAGGGACGCTTTTTGGACGCCATGGACATTTCTCAGTTTCCAGGTAGAAAGAACAGTAAAAATGCAGGCAGAGCACAGGACAAAGCACTAGGGACAAAATGTATGTGAAATGGTTTGGTACAGTAATGTTTTACTATGTGATTTTAGTGATTTTTGTGAATGTCACTTTTTGTCATTTTCAAATTTCCCGCCGTTTCGTCCCCTGTGCGTCCCGACGCTCGCAGAGGACGGAACCCAGATGACAGATGCCAGCATCCGCCGGATTACATTGCCGGGGACACCGCAGGAGGGACATCACGGGAGCGCAGGACAAGGTAAGTGACAGAGGGATCGCGGAGCAGCGCTGCATGGTATTCCCGAGTGTAGCTCGGGGTTACTGCTTGTGGTACTGAAACTTTACCCCGAGCTATGCTCTGTAATCCCGCCAGGGAGGTTAAGGAGAAACCTTGTTTCTCTATGGTTTCATGGTCCCTGAGAGCAGTATTCCGGTTGGCTATGCTGCATTCAGGTGAGCCTTTATAAGTCCCTGCCCCCAAGTTTTTTGTGTGCTTTTGTGAAGTGGTCAGAGTAGGCAAGATCACCTGTCTGTCAGGGAAAGTGATTATCAGTAGGGAAAGGTTCCTGATGAGTAGGGACATGCAATCCTGCTTGGAAGCCTCCCATTTTTAACCGGACCAGCCTGGCCTCCACCCTCTGAAGACAGATGCTGTCAGTGCATCTTACCTTCTGCCTCTCTGCACTGAACTGTGAGTTTTACCTGATGTGGTACTCTCCCGCTTAAACTGTTTGTATCTGAGCATACTTTTCAATACTAGTTATCTGCAACTGGACTGTGTCATCACTGCCACCGCAACAACATTGCGCCTACCCATATGTGTGTGTAAGAAACCTATGTGACACATAAATACCATTCACAATCTTTCCAGTCAGTTCCTCACATACCATGCCTCAGCCAAGTGGAAATGAGCACATTTTGCCAACATGTAGTACCCGGAGTGTGACAGTCCATCGACATTTCTTTGCTAGGTCTCTGGCCTGTGTTCTACATAAATTTTACTTTTGCCAGAAACCATTTTGTATAAAAGTGAGCAAAAAGAATGTCAAACAATCCTAAAGGTCCTTTCCTCTTGTAACAAATATGAACAGGAAAGCAAGAGGCAAGCCAATATGTTTCAGTGTCCAAAATCTCCTCCTTTATTAGAGCTTGAAAGTGATATCACTTGAAGAATGTCTGGATTTAAAATGACATGAAGGTATTGATAGATAAAATATATTGATATTATATCTGTGTAAGCCTTGTACCGGGGGTGGGCTCCCCAGGATACAGTGAAGTCACGAACGAGGAAAGCAACCCTGCCACCAGCTTTTGCAACAACAGAATTTTACTTAGATGTGGCAAATAAACACAACCACAAATGCTCGAAACATACAATAAATTTACATACACCCAGCGCAAAGGCTAAGACCCTCGTGCTGCATAGCACGGCGCCTTCTGATGACGAAGGTAGAAAGTGAAGTAATTTACCTACTGGCGGGCATAACTAAGCTGCCACACCTTACCTGTTATTACCCTAAAAGAACAAGAATCAGTGTATGGGTGCATGGTATGGGCTAGCCTGCAGTGCAGCACAACAGCTTACAATCTTACACAAATCTACAGTATTCCCCCTCCCATAACTGGTCCTGTAATACGTGCCTGAGTATTCCTTCTGAGCAAAACGCCAGTCTGGCTTGAATTTGTGGGATTTTATCAGCTCTCCAATGTGAAATGTCACTTTAAGTTGTGGAGTCCTTCCAATGATCAGTAACAACACTTGTGGCCTGACACAAACAGAGACCCTAACTAACTAACTATAGGCCTGTCTCAGTCTCAAGGCACCAACACTGAAATGAGGTGCGTGCACGATCTTACCAACCCGGGTCTGATTTGCATCCGCTGGTGACTCTGAACAGAACAAATGTCTCTCCAACAAGCAGCAATCTCATCAGCATTCCTGGCAGCAATCTTCTTTTCTCTGAACAGGATCAGCGTCTTGAACACCATCAGCTTCACTTAGCTGCATTTCTGATTACGGAGGGATGTTCTCACACTTGGATGGCATTGGATTCTCAGCTCACACACAGCCCCATTCTCCAAAGCATGGCTGCTGTCTCCTCTTCCTGTTCACTCAACTCCTGTGTGAAAACCCCACCTCTTCATGAATATAGAAGTATCTATGCAGTCTGAGGCTGTGTTAGAAAAACAGTGACATCTTGTGGCTAAACCGCAGAATGTCAGTCAAAACATTTGATTTACTCCAAACAGTGTTCAAACAATGAGAGCTGTTTCCCCATCTTACATGTTTAAATACTTTAAAACCAGTTTGAGTCCAGGCGTTGTAGTGATGTTACTTTCAAGCCCCTATGAAGGGGGGTTTGGGCCCCAAAACACATTGCCTGCTTCTTGCTTTCCTGTTATTTGTGACATGGTTACCTGTTTTTCCCCATGCAGTTCCAAAACTGCAAAAATCATAGCCCATAAGGAAATCATGACCCAGCAGTACACAATGGAAAGTTTTTTAACCACACCCATGGTGTACTTTACAGTTCCACTGTGTTTCCACTTAACGAGCTGTAGTAGGGTAGTATTTGGCATTACCACGTATCTGTATTCTTAGTTGTCCCATTTGGTCTGTGCCAAGCCTAGCAATGTCTGCCATAATGGCATAAACTAATGTAACTAGGTTTCCAGTGTCTACTAATGCTTCCACCTGATGTCCTTCTTTTGTAATAGGACAATTCCCTTCCAGTCTCCGTTCCTTGGTGCACTGCCAGAACAGGAGTGGCAAATAGTGACTTAAGTCTTCGCAGTTACATTTCATAGGCTTGTGTAATATGAGGCAATTGGCAGAAACATGTCCCAGTCCTTGGCACCTCTAGCACCTAACATGCCATGTCCATCTCAAGGAAGACACTCCTTTTGGGCAAGGAGGCCAATTATATCTTGCACCCATTGATAACTCAACCCCCTCGTTGAGAACCTGTTTACCCCTTCAATAAAAAGGAGCAATCTTATCTGAGGTTGATGTTTTCCTAAGAAGCCATCTTTATATGCTTGTTGGGTAGCTTCTCATGTTCAGCGACTCTCTCAAAGATGCTAAGGTAGGCTTTGACATCATCCTCAGGGAACAATTTTAATAAATCAATCTGCTGCAGCTGTTGAGGTGTAGAAATCAGGTTCTGTGCCACCACCTGCCCATCTAACAGGGCTTGTATTTGCTGCTGTAGATTGGTTCACTTCCTGCTGGTCCTCGAAGGATGCTGGGTGGGCTCCACTCAGCTATTGCATCTGTCAGGCAGTTAAGTAGTTTACGTCTTGCTGGTCATCATTTGGTAACATAAGCTACTCCACAAGAGCTGTCTGTCTATTTAATGTGCTACCCACATCTGAGTACCCAGTTGTAAGGGGTACAGGCTCAACTGGTATTGGCAGTGGTAAACCATGCATGAGACAGGGGCACTGAGAAACAGTGCAAAAGTTGGTCCTGCATGTTTGTTCAGCCAATTCAGAAAACAAACACATTTTTCAATGCAGGAGGGCTTTATACAGCAAGTCCATAGCATAAGACAAACAAAGCAACTGCTTAACCATGCCACTAGACTGACAAGCTGCCCCTTATGGGTTCTGCAAAAAAAAAACAGGCAACACTTGTATCTCTTTTCGTGTTTTGTTAGCACTAAGCATTTCCAGCCAGCAGTAGGTTCCCACAGCAGTGAGAGAGAGCCCTGAGCATTAATCAGCTCTCTTATATAGGGTCTGAGGGCAGCTGACAATAATAATGAGGTCTGACTACCAGGTGAGATGTGGGCCTTGAAATTGAAGTTTTATCCTACCAAAAGCACTATGAAGCCTTCAGGCTCTATGACCCAGATCATAACTTAATAGGATACTGGAAAAATAAAAGATTTTCTTAGAATGTATATGTGAGAAACATAGAAACGTAGATGACGCACCTTCCACAATCCTGCCAGCCAGTGCCTCTCAATATATATGGGTAATTGGCTGAATTATGAGGCAGAAAGTAAGGCCCCATGTATACGGGGCATTTCTGAACGATGGAAACTGACTGCTGGAAAACGTAGGTTAAAAAACGTCTGTTTAGCTGTATTTGCATAACGTGTTTATGCGCGTTTGCGTTTAGAAGCGTTTTTTAAATATAAGCATAGGAGAACCTCCCAATGCCCCAAATGCACTGAAAAGTGGTAAATTATTAACTATTTCAGACTGTTTCAGAGAAATACACAGAGTAGAAGCAGAGAGAGCAGTATGTGTTGAGATAATTAGGTGTGAGTTGTTCATTAACATTTCTTTTGTTTCAAAGGGTGGGAAGGTGTCTGCTGGAGTGAGTCATTAAGGTCACCCGGCAGGGGGTCTTCATGCTGAATTTGAGGTGTAAATGGGCATTAACATATCTTTTGTTTCCAAGGGTGGGAGAGGTCTGAGGTGTGAATTGGTCATTACAATGTGTGACAAGCTCAGTAGGAACATCCTGTTCATTGTTTTTGTCCATCTGAGTACCTTGAAAACTCTTTGCATCCATTTTTCATGATGAATAAGGCTCTGGACTGCATTGGGAACTGGAAGAGTTAAAAATAAATTCAAATGCAAACGCTTATAAACGCGATTTGCCGCGTTTAGCCACATTTACAAGCATTTTGCTTTTGAAACGCTGATAAAATCAACGTCTGAATGCAAGTTTGTTGCGTTCAAAAAAACGACTGTAAACTCAACTGCCTGTAAACGACTGTAAAACAAAGATGTGTACATGGACACATAGGAAAATATTAGGGAGAGTTCAGGGGCTGCTGAAAAAAACATTGAACAGCTCCTAAACGTGAGTTTATCAGCTGCAGTGTACATGAGCCCTAACTGTAACTTGCAGTTTAGTAACAGGTACAAAGTTAGAAGCATACACTGCAGAATAATACAAAAAAGAATATGAAAGCTGCACAAACATGAACTCTTCACAGCAATGTCTCTGTCTCAGTCAGGAAAACTAGTGGCTACATATATAAGCCTCTTGAAGACTCTAAAACAACAAAGGATCACGTTGTAAATCAATAGTTTAATAAAACAGTACAGAACATAGCTACCTGTGATTATCCTCACAGTAAAGTCCAGTGTAGCTTTGGTAGCACAGGAGAACAGTTGGAGGGATTCACGGCTCAAAGGAAAGCACCACTCCATTGGAACTGGAGTATTCTAAAAGCAATATGTGAAAGGCACGCCATAGCAACTGGATCTTTTGAAGAAACAGCATTATATTAGACTTCTGCCCGGCTGCTCGCATAATGGTCCTCATAGGGGAGGACTACTTACCTGGCTGCATATCATTCTGTTTAATTTGGTGTGGCCTTTCTAAGCTACTGAGAGAGGGAAGCAGAGAGACCTACCTTTCCTCGGTGTGTCCAGGAAGCCAGGGAGTTTTAGTAAATTAAGTTATAGGAGCCGCATCTGCATTATCTGAGCATATTGAGTTAAATGGGCACTCTGCTACACACACTCACTTTCTACTCACCAACTTGCATTCTAAGTGCTTTTCTGCCCACTTTTATTCAAAAGAATGTATCAGGGTTCCGACAGATGGGTTCAGCAACACAAAGAAAAGAACAGCCTCCTGGCTACTTAGGTCCACTCAGACCCACCAACTGTCTCCATCTAGACTGCAATAACGCAACCCCTTGAATTATTGGACTTATTAATCCCTCCGTCTGCTTCCAAGCTGACTTTCACAACTCTCTGGCAACTGCCTGCTCAGGTGGTCAGGTTGCCTGTCTTTATGGACAGACAGGCCAGACTTCAGATATACAATGCTTGTGTGTCTGTACACATGCTCCTGAAGCCTCCTGCCACATGAATCTTCTGGTGAGGGAGGAGCACTGGCTGCCCAGACTAACTGCCCTTGTGGGTAAAACACCTAACTGACATTTAAACCCCTTTCAGAAGGGGTGGATCTGTCAGCGGATCTGCTTGCTCAGCTGGGATCTCTCCGCTGATCCCCTCTGAGCAAGTGGATGACAGGTCTGTGTCTGCTCTGCTGCTCCAGAGTGAACACAGACAAAGCCTGCCATTTTCTATGGGGCGGTCAGATTGAAACGGACCGCCTGTCGCCCACCTGACTGTCATCCGATCCGCCAGAAAGATGCGGAACAAATCCCCGTCTGTCTCTTTTTAGCGTACAGGATTGGATCGAATGCAGACAGATGTCAGCGAACACATAACACAATTAGAGATATGGGTGTTCAGGTCCTAAACAGCTTCATATATATTCAAGACATGACATACTAAGGAGGTATTGCCACTTATTAACTCTTCCCTATAGCAAACTTTTGCATATAAAATGGAAATTCTTAGTTTACACATATATTGCAATATATCTTCAATCAGATCGGATGCCGACGGGTGTCAGCGAACACATAACACAATTAGAGATACAAGTGTTCAGATCCTAAATAGCTTCATATATAGAAGACATGAGATACTAAGGAGGTATTGCCACTTATTAACTCTTACCTATAGCAAACTTTTGCGTATAAAATAGGAATTCTTAGTTGACACACATGTTGCAATACATCTTCAAGCTGGCCAAATGTGTAAAAATGATCCCACTCTGACCAGTCTCATCTCTCTCTTGCAGATTTGCCAACTCTTATTTATAAAATAGCTACTCATGAGAGTGTGGACATACAGTATAGTGTCAATATGGGGCAGACACAGCTGGAAATGTAAAAAGCTCTGGTAAACTCAATGGTTTTGCACAGAGCAGCTCCGATCCTTCTTTTCTCGGGTGCTCCTGGCTCCTCCCCCCTGCTGAGTGCCCTTATAGCAAGGTGCTCACTCCTTAACCCGCTCTGTGTGTCCATTGATACACAAAGCCGGCTTGGTCCTGTCCCTCACACTGGCTGTAATTGACAGCAGCAGGAGCCAATGGCCCCTGCTGCTGCCTCTATGTTCAGTGAAGAGGGGGAGAGCCAGGATAGCAGAGGTGGCTCTTTTAGTGGGCAACTTGGGCAGTCGCAGAAGGGCTTACACCAGCCTAAGTTGCATGTGATCAATTATGAATGTTGGTGCCGGCGGCTCCACCTCCCCTTGCCGCAGCCAGACTCTGTGGCCCAGCGGCGGACTGAACATCTGGGCCCTGCCCTGGGTCAATAGGGGTCTCGTCATGGAGACTCCAGGTCCAGTTGCAGCAGATACAGGGAGCAGGACAGAAAAGGCCTTGCGGTGTGGGCAGGATGACAGCAGGCTCCAAGCCTGGAACCCCTGGACTCCTTCTTCAACTACCTCTTCTATGTCTCCTCTTCCAGGACTGGAGGACAGGCTGACTGGGCCCTAAAAATGAGGATGGGCGGGAGGTGCAAGCAATCAGGGACCGTCCCATCTCACATCAAATAGATCTGCTGGAAGTAGCAGAAACACCTCCTTTCCTCACCCAGAACGAGAATGGGTCCTGCCCACTCCAGGTCATCATTAACATCTTGCTGGCATGGAAGGTATCATACCAAGCATCACGCACACCTTCCCACAGACAGAGACTGGGACATGGGGGCACAGGAGGGACTGCAGACAGGGACAGGGCTATGGGTCTCTCTCATCCCCCTTGCCCACTCCCCTCTCTCTCACCCTTCTCTTTCTCACCTCTCTCTCTCTCACCGCCCTTCTCTTTTTTACCACTCCTCTTTCTGACCCTCACTCTCACTAACCTTCCCTCTCTCTGACCCCCCCCCCTCACCCCCCCTCTCTCTCACCAACTGCCCTCTCACCCCCCATCTTTCTCACCTCTCTCTCTCTATCTCTCACCCCCCTCTCTCTCTCACCCCACTCTCTTTCACCATCCTCTCTCTCCCTCCTCTCTCTCACCCCTCTCTTTCGCTCCCCCCCCCCCCCCCCCTCTATCTCACCCCTCTTTTTCTCCCCCTCCATCACCCCCCACTCTCTCTCACCCCCCTCTCTCTATCTCACCCCCTCTCGCTCACTCTCTCACCCCCCTTTCATTCTCTCACCACCACCCCTCTCTCTGTCATCCCTCCTCACTCTCTCACCCACCTCTCTCTACCGCCACCACCCCTTTCTCTCCCTCCCCCTCCTCTTCCTCTCTTCTCTCCCTCCCTCTCTCTCCCCCCCCTCTCTCTCTCTCTCTCTCCCATCTCTCTCCTCTCTCTCTGCACTGTGCTGGGATCCCCCTAGACTACTTCCTCTGTGGATATGGAATGACTCAGTGACATCCCCTCCCAATTCTCCCAGGGCACAGGGGAAATTCCTGGAGGAATTGTCACCTTACTGGGTCCCAGATGTTGTATTGGCTTCATGTGTCTGATGGGTGGGTGAGAAGGGTGCCCTGGAAGTGGTGCTGATCGCATGTGTTCTAGATCCATGCATCTTTTTGCAGCTAATTTTATCACTTAAATTATTTTCCCATTATGGGCGCGAATGGAGCCTCATGTCTGAGATTTGCCTAAGGCCTCACAAAGCCTGGAGCCACCTCTGCAGGAGAGCATATGCTCTTGTGTACATCGCTGGATCAAGATTAGTCTTAGGTAAGTATAAGATCATAAGGGGAGCTGCTTGCAAAGGTCCATAGAAAGTATAAAGGTAAAATACTTTAGTCCTTTAGAACCCCTTAAAGATATATATATATATATATCATTATATCTTTTTTTTTTTGGAGAGAGAGCAAGTCTCTGTAGCAGGTAAAGATATCTGTGTATATTTTCCCTGGTGATTTGTAGCTGGGTACAGGGTTGTTAACAAGAGACAGGCCATTTACTGAATATAATTCATTTTCGCCTAGCATAAAAAATTCTAGGGAAAGCAATTCTTTAGCAGCTATCACTTGTGTGTCATGGACCTCAGGCAAGATGTGTTTTTTAAAGCTGAAGTTTATGTATGATAATTTTTACATTGTTAGTATGTATGTGCCATACCTGTGGGATCTCTGTGAAAGCTATAAATTATTGTAGTATGCATCGGTATTACAGGGGCTACAGCAGCTACTATCACTAGGTTCCAAGTCCTAGGGCATTCAGAGAACACTTTGCATTTTCTCAATGAATGCAAAGTGTTGACTGTTTGGACTAGGGGAAGATTGTGCGGTCACTGCCTTGCTTCTCCGCCTTGTTCAGTGAGAGGACACTTTGCATTCATTGAGAAAATGTAATGATTTCCAGCTTCCACAGTCCAAGATGGAACAATGTAACTATGTAAAACTAGCCATACCTAAAGCTTTAAAGTGTTACTAAACCCACTGTGGAACCTAAGGGGTTAATCCTCATTGTGTAAAAAGGCTGTTTGATCCTGTCTTCTCTGATGCTCCTATTCTTCTACTGTCCCCAATCCATCTGCTGATAGTACAGAGCCCTAGGTGGCACTCCACACATGCTCAGTTTGGTGCGTATTGCTAGAGAGGTTTTTTTTTCTTGGGAGAGCACATGTGATCAGCACAGGTCCAATCAGTACTGTCCAGACAGAGGTCAGAGCTTCTGCATCCTCCTAGAGCAGAAAGAAAACTCCTCCTACAAGCTTTAACATGTGCTCTGCTGAACACTGATGGAAGTCACAAGACTGCTGTAACTGCTGATGAGAAAAGGTAATTAATAGTTTATATTTACTACAATAATTGCATTTCCATGTTCTGTGTACTGTGGGAGACCAGACATAGTGAATGCAGGGTCTGGGGTTTAGTAACACTTTAAGTAATATATCTTTT